TAATTTTTGCAAATATGCATTTATGAAATAATTCGTTTTTAAAATATTTGTCTTTTGATTGATTATTCATAATTTGTTTATTTCAGTGTTCGTCAATTTTCACTGAAAGATAATTTTGGAATGAAATGTTTATGAGGTTGAACACAATTTTCACATAGTTTTATCGTACAAATATTTACATAAAATTGTACATTGCAGGGGTTTTGTTTGTTTGTATGTTGTTTAACGTCCCTCTCGAGAATTTTTCACTCATATGGAGACGCCACTACTTGCCGGTGAAGAGCTGCAAATTTTGTCCTATACTCAGCACTTACGGCCATTGAGCAGTGAGGGATCTTTTTCGTTCCAGCACCTACTGCGACACGGGACCTGGGTTTATATGGTCTCATCCGATGGACCGGTCTTCACGTCCCACAGTGGGATTCGAACCCTCGACGTAAGAATCAACTCCTTACTTTGCGACTCTAGAGCAGACGCTCTAACCACTGCACCACGCGGGCTCATTGCAGGGGTAATCAACTAAAAAGCTGCACCACTCTGTCCACTCAGAAGACCAACATAATCCAGGAGAGAACATTAATCAGGAGACCAACACCACCCCAGGAGACCAACACCACCCACGCAGACCAACACCACCCCCAGAACTCCAGCACCAACACCCGAACTCTCACACTAAGATCTAATTCAAATGTATTTTTTTAAAAAAAAAAATATTTATTGGATTTCGGATTTCCAACATCTCGGCATGAGCATCATTGAAGAGACATGATTTGTCGAAATGCACATCTGGTGCATTAAAATTGGTACCGTATAAGATTTACATCTTATCTTGGAATGTTTTCATGCATTGACCACATGTGAGAATACAAAACTTTTGTAATATGTTCGGGTTCTGTACCAAGATTAATTTATAAATTGTATTTTTGTGAAACATTGAAATGAATTTAATTAAATGTTTACAATATAGATTCTATTTGCATATGTTTTCATTTATCTAATTATGAAGGCATCTTAGTTAATGAAGCAATTGAAATTTTAAATAAGTAATGACAACCCCCCCCCCCCCGCCCCGAAAAAAAAAAAACAAAAAAAAACAAAAAAAAAACGGCGAATTAACTTTTATTCAATGTCTAAACAACATTGATTTTCAACATTGAATCAACGTGATGATTTCGACGTTGAACCATATTTTCAAAATCTAACATAAACTAAACGTTGAATCAACATACATCATCAACGTTGATTCAAAGTTTTTTTTCAATGTTGTGTGCCTGCTGGGGAATGACAAGTACAAAACCTTTGAAGAGTTGGAAACTGTCCTTCATCATGCTTAATTTAACTTACAAGTTTCAAATACCACGGATACATGTATGATAATGTATATAATAGTGATTTTGGAACATTAAATCAATAAAGACCTTATTCAAAATGTTGAAACGGAAGAGTTTTATCATTAAGTGTTGCAAAAAACCCTCGACATACATTTTTTTAAAATTTGTTAAACCCTAAAAATTATTTATTCTACAATCATTTAAGTAGGTCGAAACTGCTGAGGTACCGGGACTGCACTGAGATAATACACTCTGTATAGTGCTGAATATACCTCTGTGGTAACGTAGTTGATATACCTTGGCCGTTTATTCTCCTACATATTGTTAGAAGACCCAAATAAGGCAAACTGTTGCGGAGGATAGACTTAGCTTATATTAACCGAACACTTAAGATCAAAATAAGGCAGTTACATGGTTTGGGAGAGAGGTGGCATACAACAAAGGTGGGGAGAGTGCCAGGAAACTTAGTACCAGTGGTGTGGCAGGACCAAAGAAATTCGTTTTCGTGAGACACCCGTTGACCACAGACAGTGAAGAAACCCTTTATATTTTTACAAAAGTTGTATATATAATATATTTGGTAAATAAAAACCTGCGTGAACAGGCTAGCGGACCTGAGTATAACGCCTAGGTTAAACAAGACATGTCACCATACATCATCTCGGCTACATTGCACGTTACATTATTTGTTGGCAAATGTCGAGAATTTGCTGACTATGGATTCGTATAAGAAAGAATGCTCAGAAAATGTTCAGAGGCAAGGGCCTGGATATGCGACACACAGGACCGACTATCAGTCGGCCGGTATGTCAGGAGATATGTCATTTGACGAGTACGGTGAACGACCGTAGATTCCTAGATGAAGGCAAAGCAAGAGCTTATACACCGAGTGCTAGGTTTGAGAACATTGTGACGGGACATCTATTTGACATTCCAAAACCAGAAAGACAATCAATTGCAGGTTATTTAATTAAGTCAGCCACATATGACGGAACAAGTTCCTGGCTTGACTTCAAATCACATTTTGGAGGCTGCGCTGTTGTAAATGGCTGGGCAGAAGATAAGAAGGCCCTTATTTAGCCGTATCAATGCGTGGTCAATCAGTCAGTGTTAGTTAACTTACCAAGTGAGACTGGTCAGCACACCAGGGCAATGGTTAGATCCCTGGAAGATGGGTTCTCAAAAATACATAGCAGGTTCCAGTAAATGTTCTACCAAGCCTCTTTCTTTACTTCTAACTAAAATATTAACACCAATGAAGGAAGAATTTCAGGAGCACTGTGCAACAATATATTCGAGAAGTTGTGTAAATCAGATGTGGATACTTAAAAACTCCAAGAAATTTTTAGAAAAATTGAAATCACAAAATTTTACCAAAATCAATAACATCAAAACATACGACTTTTCAACACTATATACCACTATTCCAAACGATAAATTAAAGTCCAGGCTTTTTGACATCATAGACAGCTGCTTTTTCAATAAAAAGGAAACTCTTAAATTTACTTACCTTGTCATTGGCCATTTGCAAAATTATTTTGTTAAAAACAATCTGATTGTACACACAAGTACTCTGAAGTTTCTATTAAAAAGTTAAAAAGATATTTGAGTTTCTGATTGACAATGTCCATGGTTTTTTTTTTTTTTTTTTTTTTTTTTTTTTTTTTTTTAGTTTTTCCAACAATCTGTTTGAATTTCCATGGGTACCAATTGCACTCCGTTATTAGTAGATCTATTTTTGTATTCAAATAAAGCAGAATATATACAAAAATTGATTGATTGTATGTTGTTTTACGTCCCATTCGAAAATTTTTCACTCATTTAGAGACGTCACCATATAAAGGACTTCAAATTTTGACCTTAACTCGGCACTCAGGGCCATTGAGCAGTGAGGGTTCTTTATCTTACCAACGCCTGTCGTGACACGGGGCCTCAGATTTTAAGGTCTCATCCAAAGGACCCGCAACTTTCACTTCAAAGTGCCAAGCGCATGGTGAAGGAACAGTTGCCACCAATTTTATCGACTTAGGTCAGTTGCGGCCGAGATTCGAACTCATGACCTCCCGATCACGGAGCTAGCGCTCTACCGACTGAGCTATCCTGAACGATATATATACAAAGTAGAAAAAAACAACTGCTGTGGCCTTCAATTCGACATTTAGATATATCGACGACGTATTATCAATTAACAGTAGTTATTTCCATTCCTATGTCTACAGAATATATCCCAGTGAGCTTCAAATAAAGGATACGACAGAGTCTGACACATGTGTTACATATTTGGATATTTTACTAGAAAAAGACGTTTATGGTAATCTAACAACCAAGTTTTATGATAAACATAATGACTTTAACTTTTCAATCGTCAACTTCCCTTACCTATGCACCTATGCAGCAATATACCTTAACACATGCATATGGCGGTTTATATCTCTTACTTGATTCGATACGTAAGAGCATGTGCTACGTATGAACAATTTATAAAACGAAGTTATTTACTGACAAAGAAGTTGATGAAACAAGAATATCAACCGTCTCGTTTTAAGTACTAATTTCATAAGTTCTATGGTCGTTACAATTACCTTGACAATGACGTTGTCAGCAATACAATCAATCATTAAGTCAATGCTGTCTGACGTTTTTCATTTAATTTTTAGACCATTATTTACACAACGAACTGTCGACGGATTGTTTCTTATTTCCCGATTATGACAAGGAGCATACGGCGGGTGTGACCGGTCGGCAGGGGATGCTTACTCCTTCATTGCACTTCATCCTACCTCTGATGTGTTAGAGACCCGTGTTTGCTCTGCTCCTGATTTGTATTGTTTAGATCGACTTTAAGCTTGAATACTGTTCGTTATCTCCACATCTTTCATTCTCCCCTCCTAACCAAAAAGATCTATATCGTGTACAATTAAAAGAAGAAAGACAAAGAGCATCTAAGTCAATACGAGAGTCAGGCAATACGGCAAATTGCTTATCAGGCCTAATCAATGGTAAGACTGATCATATTTAGAGTATGGTAGTACACAATACTACAGTGATTGCGGAGATTACGGCAGATGGATAATTGCGATTAGACTTTCTACTGTCAAGTGCATGAACGGTCGACATGAGCCAAAAAGTGATTCACTTTAGAGATAAGATAATACCTCTGTTTGCGGAGGGCAGCATAGGCTGCAACAGAATAACAGCAAGAAAAACAGTCAGCATACCTCCAAGAAGTGAGATCATCATTTAGGGACAAGTCTTGAAGGATTTCAAATACCTGTTTAATAGATCCTTATGTTCTAGTTTGCCAAGGGAAGGCTATGTTACAAGCAGAACACTTATATTGCCTCAGGAAAGTCCGTTTGCTAAATATTAGAGAGGAAGTCAAAGTAATTTAACAGCGTACAGTAATTGGACAACTCAATGAAGTCAAACTGGTTGAGTCACAAGAGGAGAATACGTCAACAAATCTAAAAAAAATTGAAGACCTGATTTGGTTTAAAATGGTGAAGAAAAAAGCCAATTGACACGAAATCAGAAAAAGAAGCTCATGAATTTTTGTATGAATATTCCATTCTATTTGCAAAGTCTAAAAAATAATTGAGGCGCTTACGCATCGTCACTCACAGGTTTTATACTGGGGACCACCATCCTTTCAAAATACCCCAAAGGAGAATGCCAACTCATGTTACAGAGGAGGTTGACAAACTGCTGAGTTATATGCTTGAAAGAGGTGTGTTGTAATGCAGACGTACCGAGTCGTGTGTCATGTCGCCAATGTGGTTTTGATCCGAATATTCTATAATAAAAGTCAATAGAAGATGTTTAGCCGACAACTCTCTTTTAAAATTATGCAAATGCATGACCGAAATGGTTAACAGGAAAAAGAACTTATGAAAATCTTAAACTTATGGAATTGGAATCTACTTTAGCTGCTTAAAAATTCTGAGTGATAATGAAAAACAACGCATCCTTATTTATATATGGATATAATAATTAGATGTTTACTTTTAAATTCTTAGTTCACATATGGCATGCCCAACTCCGATGGGTGAAATTTTGTAAACGTATGGCAGGCAGTTTTTAACACTCATGGAACGTATTTTTTTTTGAAACCTCACTTAATTGCTTTGTTTACACAATGTGTCTTTTTTTTTAGACGCAGCTTAGAAAAAAATACATTATATTTTATTCAATGTATTACATTCTGATTTATTATAATAAAGAAAGTTTTGTTGCTGTTTGGACAGACTCTGAGGATAATGCAATGCCTTATTAGACCAATATATTTTTTGTTGGAGTCAACAAACTTAGCTTGAATAAATCTTGAGTTTATTAAGAATTTAAAGAAATCTTAGTTAGACTATTGATATCTATTACACATCTTTTTTTAATATTCTATGATGCAGTATTGTAAAACACAGAACTAACATAAATTGGAAAAATATTTTTCTTGAAAAGATGAACCTCTATTCCAAGGCCACCTCTCTATAGAGGTCACTTTTAATTGTTCCCGCAGGTGACTGCTTAATACAGATTTGACTGTACTAGTTTTTGAACACTTGTGTCATTTCATTTCCTATTTTAGTCTATACTGTAGAATCTATGGAGGGTGAATCAAGAAACATTTCATGGACTGCCGAATATTTTCCACGAAGTGGATTTTACTTCATTCTCCATGAATATAACGGTACAGTTTCAACAGTAATAAGGATAGAAAATGCTGATCCGCCACCGACTAAAAAGTATATATATCACACCCGACCATTCTATTCTGTAAACATACTGTTAGAGGTCAGAAACATAACAGTGGAAGATGCCGGATATTACGTAGGAGGTCCTGCAGCGGCGGATGCCTGGAAAGGAGAAGGAGTTGCTCTTACTGTTTCTGGTAAACCCTGTGATTTTTTTATATAAATAGGATTGTATGTTTTTTAACTTATATAATTATGCTTCTTTTCAGTTTGTCTGTTTATAATACATACCCAACTATTTTCGCATAGTGTTCTAAGGATTTATCTAGCATAAGCATACTATGCCGAAATGGTGCATGGCTTCTTTATCTGAAGAAAATTTGACGTCCCCACGCCGGGGAAGGAAACTCACGACCTCGAGGTTGTCAGTCCGACGTACTACCGATTCAGACACGGACGTTGTTATTTGTAACTGTGTAGTCAGATATAAAAAAAACTTAGTTTCAAATATTTTATACTTAAAGAAAAAATAAACAAAATAATTTTTCTTAAATAGTTTCTTGCAATATTTTTACCGTCACTCAACTAAAATTCTTTGAAACTATCTGTGCATTTTACCTTATTGCATAAAACACTCAAAATTAAGGGAAAAAAATTATGACGTGCATCTAGCACAAGGTAATGTCATAATAGGGGTATACTAATATGTTTGAAAGAGCTGATGAAACATTAGAAATGGAGAAATATTGTCGTTTTTATTCAACAGTTAGCTTAATAATAACAATAGTGTTGTGCTTTTTCTGCACTATACCTAAAAAGTAGTCAGAGTTTGACACATAGAGCACTCCCATCCGGCTCATGCACCATGTGTCAAACCCTGACTACTATTTAGGAATAGTACATGCAAAGTACAACACAATTATATAAATGTCATCTTTCTACAGCAATTTACTAATACCATTATCAATGGGGGAAAGTTGCTAAACTGTTGTATATCCCCAATCTAAAACAAATTCTGCGCTTGTTCATGAAAATAATGCTAAATGCATTAAACGCATTAAAAATTATTTAGGAAGGCCTGTGAAACCAATAATAACAGGAAAACTTAATGTCAAGGTGGGAGACTACGCCTTCTTGAAATGTGAAAGTAGATCTACGTCTGCTCCATACTATTACAAGAAGTTTCCGCCATTGTCATATTCATGGTTTGTCAACAACACCAAGCTACACAGAGAGGATAGAGAGACCTACAGCTTTACTGTCACCAAAGATGTTAAATACAACCGATATAACTGTCAGGCAAAAGAAATTCTTGAATCAGACAAAAGTGATGAAATTCGGATAAACCCTTTATGTAAGTATAATGATTAGTTTAAATTAACGTACACAATCATATTTTTGCAAAAAATAAGAAAAGTTTTAAAATTACCTGCATGTCATGGTAAAGATTGTTTGATTGATTTATCAATGCTTAACGCCAAGTCAGCAATTTTCAGTTATATCCCTGTAGTCTTGGTACAGAGGTAAGGCAGTTCGTTATTAAAGAAAACAAGAAATTATTAATAATTAATAAAAGAATTCATGACTACTTTGAAAAAAATTCAGCAGATAATTTGAGCATTTTTTTTAAAGACCGGCAAATGTATGGCTTTGAAAACAATTTTTAAAAAGTATTTTTACCTTTTTAAAACGTTTCTTATAATCAAATCCAAAAAAAAAATCTTTTCCTTGCATTGTATGCATTCTATTTTATTTTATTGTTAGGTCCAAAAACATCAATACATCTCCTAAATAAATTAATTTTGCAGTGCCGACATTAACATACCATGTCAAAAACTGTTCTGAACACTTCATGAACAAATAAATAAATAAAAAATAAATAAATAAAAAAGTTTCTACATTATCGTAAGAAAATGCACATTAAGTACTCCTAGTAATTGTGTTTTTTACAATTTTTTCTGCAAATATATATTATGCTTAAATTAAGCTGTTTAATCACAAAAGATTTATCGCTGTTAAACATTGTTACTAACACAAAACTCTGTAGTTAAAGTAGAGAAAATTACAAGGAAACATTATTTCCATATATATGCGATTCCGTGTAAAATAATAAAAAAAGAATCACAATTAAACATGTTTTACAAAGGTCTGTGGATGTGTTACATAAATACACAGGTATTCTAAAATTTTCACGCAATTATATATTTATGAGACATTATTATTTTTAACGATTTTATGGGGGAGAATTTCTACTTTAGACATATCCCTTTTCCCCGTCATGACATGTGGACACTAGCGCGCTTCATGAAATATGCCTGCGTGCAAGTCTGTGTGATTTACACACCAATAACTCACACAAAACTTAAAAACATTCCTTGATTGACTTCCTTTTTGATGTGAACTAAAATATACTGAATTCGAAAATACTGACGAAGTGGCAGATTCGGGAAGGGTGAGGGGGGACTCTTAACTATATCGAATACTAAACATATATACAGATACAGTGATGAAGGATTTTTTTCCTAGAGTAGACTTTGACTATATTTGTAAAGAAGAAAACCTTATACCCTTCCAGCTCCACCAGAAGTGGTTATTATTTATTTATATTTTAGTGCATTTAAGTGAATTACAATTTAAATAAATAATTTTTAACCACACCATCAATGCACATCGTAGATATTTAATCCGTAATACTATCTTAATTCTCAGAAATAGTTGTAACATGCATATGTATTTCTATAGTAACAAAACGAGAAAAAAAAACGTGTAAGAAATGAATACTTTGGTAATTATTCAGCAGTTGGTTAATAAAGCGACCTGGATTATCATCTCGCTATCAATGATTTGTTGTCTTTGACATAATGTTGTAGCATATATGTTGCCGTATTTAGATTTAATTTTATAGCATCGTACTAAATGAATATACTTCCAACAACATTTATCTTAAAGATTAATTTAATAGAGAATCAACAGTTAAGTTTAAAAAAATAATAATAAATATTGGAGATATTTTTTTTCCAGAATATAATGATACACCCTTAGTTTCATTCTCATTTTCCCTTTAAAAAGATAAGTCCTTTCACTTTGGAGTTCCGAATGACAATGAAGACTGAACAATGAGTGAACACTGAACGCAAGGTGAACGCAAAGTGAACGGTGAATGCGAACACACGGTGAACGCTGAACGCAGAACTGTGAACGGAGAGCGAACGGTGAACGAACGGAAAAAAGGGAAAGTAGAACGTTTCAAGGATTGTATGTTAATTGCGCTGATTTTGGTTGCACACTTATCATTTCACTCCTTTACTCGGTATAATGACAATTATCGCGACGGGTAAATGCATTACTTGCGATGAATCTTCATCATTTTTTTTAAAGTCTAAAACATCGTTTAAAAAAAATGCAATGTTAAGTTAACATCACAAGACCCATAAATATTTGCTTCTGCTTCTATTTAAAGAAATTCTATGAAAACTAACCGCATCAAATGGAAATAATAATAATAATAATAATAACTAGATACTCGTTGCGAGCAACGAGAGGTCTTCCGTCCGAATAACCATCCTTACCTGTGATATTCTTTGCACGTAAAATTACATTTATATCTGATCGTTGTAAAGACACCTAAAAATTCAACATGGGTCTTTAAAAAGATTTTTTATTCATAAAAAAAAAAATAAAAAGAGCACAGAATTCACAAAGAGAAAAACAAAGTTCAACTTCATTGATAAAGATGAAAGCGTAAATTTAAGCAAAAAATTCAGATATAGTCGGGATTAAACCAAGATCGGCTGCCCGAAAAGAGCTAGGTTCACTTCATGCATAAAATAGCCCTGTAGATATACTAACACTTTATGTTCCATTTTAAACAACAAGATAAAGCAGAGACTTAGTGTTTTCATTTCTTATTAAAAATTTTCTCCTTATAGCCAAGCTCTTGGAAAACAGGGCACCTGAAATTGCAATGTTCTTGAATTTTAATGAAAATAAGTATATTTGAGTACTTTCACAGAAGAGAAATAATATGAGCACACCCTTTGATCTAAAAAATAAAACAGGTTTTGTAATCCTCAGAAATAGTTCTATCATTTAATAGTTGCATATTTAAGATCAGAGGTTACGTCCTATATTATATATCGAAAAATAGCTTTAAAAATTGGCTGTTTTGTAGAAATTTTCAGGATACGAAGAAAATGACGCATTTCATGACGTCTTAATGCATAGGCTATCCAGAAAATTTCGTCATTTTTGATAGATACGCAGTCATCAAAAGTCTAAATGATATTTAACGCATTGTCAACTAAAACTAAGCAGTTTCGGTTTTTCTGAAATTCACAGGCCCAAAAAGGGCCCTAAGTGAACCTTGTTCTTGAATATTGAAACCACTACACTAGCGCAATGTACCAGCCATCATCGATGTTTACCTTGCACTCATTCCCTGAAGTAACGAGTGTCAGGCAGGTTGATTTTGTTTTCTTATAGTGCTGAATTATAGGATGAAAACTAGCCAGCTAAATTTTGTGCAAGTGCTAGTAGATTTACATCGGATTTGTTACCTGACTTTTAACAATAACTGATAGCAGAGAAAATAATCTGTTAATGATAAAAACTAAAAAAAAAACTATTTTTGTTTACTTCCTTTATTCTTTATGCATTCAACTTTCTATTCTATGCAATTTCAAATACAGACATGTCCGTGTAATCTTTTTCTGTACTTCTACACTACTGCATCAGACCATTTGTGAAAGGCGGCTCAAGATACATTATTTCGCGCCAAACGTCACGAGCAAATCTTCGCACCTTTTCTTTGAAATGTGTCTTCAATTGAATAAGTGTACGTGATAGCTTCAATGAAATTAAAAAAAAAAAAAAATGTTGCTATAGCCTGATTTTCGAGCCTAAGAATGTTTATTTATCACACTGTACATATAACATATCGTATACGGGCAAGTAACATAAAGGCAGCGCTAAGTTTTCTTACACATTTTATATTCCTCTTTACCCCAAAAGTGGACTATTCCAATGAGTAACACATTAATGAAAAGACTTGAATGTTTTGCAACAAAACACATCTCGCCATATGACGCTCAAGGAATCTGATACCTATTATGTTCAGTAACTTGCATCTATAAAGAAATATAACCCTACTAAAATCAAAGAAAAATATTGAAAAACTTAAAAGTTGAAAAAAATTGACTTTTTTAATTCGCTTCCGGTAGCGACCGGAAGTACTCACGACGCACGAAAAGGCAAACCCGCATATTTAGAAGTCATGTTCTATGCTCTCCAACAAGTCTCCAGTTCATATCTTTAGTCGTTCTTTAGATCTCGCGTGGATAAAATTTCATTTTAAAATAAGAAAAATGTCCATAACTTGGAACCGGAAGCGAATTTCTCCAAAATTGTTTCAAATGTAACAATGGCATTTTATAGCGCATTATCCCTGAAAGTTTGATGAAAAACGACTAAATAGTTCTCGAGATATTGCGTGCACAAAATTTGTCTAAAAAATAAGAATAATAATAATAACTAGATGCGATCTCGTTGCGAGCAACGAGTGGGTCTTCCGTCCGATTTTTGATAAGATGAGATACGAATTTGACTGAGATTTTCGTTCATAAATATATAAATAGTGAAAACGTACAATTTGCTTCAGTTATGTTCAACAAAAGTTTGATCATTATGGCACCTAAAACACAATGTTTGATGAAGATTTTAAAATATTTATAGTAGCAGATCGTGAAGATGAACATTACTGTAAAAGGGTTTTGGATAAACTCCCCCTTATTCGAGGGTTCAGCCCCTTTTTCTTGATACCACATGAAAGGTCGTGTAATTCTGAAGACTTTTTGTTCTACAACTATTCAGAAGTTTCGTTTCGTTTTCGAGATATGTAGACTTGAAATATTAAGGGGCCGTCCCTTTAAGTCCTTATAGGGGCTGTTTAGGAAAAAAATCAAAGGATGCACATTGTCGAGAACATCATTCTAAACAACATTTCTTCAATATTGCTTTTCAAAATGTTGCCCCTTTTCGAGGTATAAAGCGTCAAAGATTAAGTATTCTGGCCCCTTATGGTCACTATCTACGTAATATTTGAAGACAACTTTAAAATATATAGTTGCAGATTGTGAATATGAACATTTTTGCTTCAATAATTAATATCAAAATATTTAACGTTAAGGAGTTAAAGATGAAAGTCTTTTAACCCCTCTGAGCCCCAAATTTTAGGGGTCAGCCCCTTTGTCTTGATATCACATGAAAGGTCTTGTAATTCTGAAGACTTTTTGTTCAACAACTATTCAGAATTTCGTTTCGTTTTCGAGATAAGTAGACTTGAAATATTAAGGGGCCGTCCCTTTAAGTCCTTA